AACCCCACACCAAAAATAGTGCCGACAATCTTATTGTTATGGTCACCACCATTATGGGAAGTATAACATGCCTTCACTTTGGAGAGAGATGAGCCAACGTTATGCTACTTTCAAATGATTCTATATAATAACTTGACATGTAGCTCTAGTCTAGCTCAGCTCCAAAAGATAACCACAGATGGTTGGACAGATATAGATGGCTACATGCAACTCAGAAACCCATTTCAGATGCTAGCACATCTGATGGTGAGATCTAGGTACTTTTAGAGGCATGTTTGAAGATCTTCCAATACCATGAGATTACAAATTTTTTTTACATTCAACAAAGTTGAATTGACTCTGTACTATGAAGAGGTAATAACTTCAATGGATGAGATCAAAGATCCCCAAAATTTGGAAGTCTGATGCTGGTGTCAAATAGGTGTGGCAATCGCCGCATTCCCACTTGGACAGAACCAGTCCAGCACTTGAGGGGCTAGTTGCCTTCAGCTTAGTGCTTTTCACCAATGAGAGTGGGACCCTCCCTAGTTATCCTAATACCTTTATTTTTTTTTGGATACTTAAGTTTGCAATTTTTGTTGTGTGTTTGTTCGGGAAAACTGTCAACGTCTCAGTTTTCCTATCAAGAGATGTATCCAAGGGTTGAGTGGTGCTTCAGTTTATCTTGTTACTGAGGAAGTGATAGCGGTGCTTTAGTTGTTTTTCACTACAAAAGTGGTGGTTATCCTTCCCCATACCCTCCTCCGTCACTCGCCCTTGATACAGTCACAACAAACAACATACCTTGCCTATATTCTCATAGTTTCTCACCTCAAGCCGCTTGTCCTCACTACTACTACCCAGGACAACCATCTTTTTGTTGTCATGTAGTTCATCACATCCTTTGTCAATGTCATCATCATTCTTCCCTGTTATCACTACATATAAAAGTAGTTATTTGCTGTTTTCCTCACTGTCCAACCATCTATCTCGATGTCTTCGTCGAGGACAACAATCACATTTATTGTTCCTGTAGTTTCACACTTCCTCCTCACTACTACCAACACCCCTTTGTTGTAGCCACTCCTTTCAGCCGATTAATCTCCCTTTGCTACCATTGTGGGGGTCCAAATCCTCGCCAATGTCACCACCACTCCATGATCAACCATAGTTTAAGTTTTTGGTGTCATTCGTTGTCATTTTAATTTTTTATTCTGTTGGGTTGTAATTTCTCATGTAATTTCAGTAATAACATTTGTTTTTCTCATTATTATTGGTTAACATTGGTAAAACGACAATTATAATATGTGTGTGTGGTTGAAATAACTTAATCACTTTTTACCAAATTATTGAATACAACTTTTCTTAGGCATCACCAAGATTTTACTTACATAACTTTTATGAGATTAATAACTAGAAAAAAAATTAATATACATAAAATGCATGATAATTCTTGGTAGCTTTTTATTATTTTATTTTAGACATAAAATATCTTTTTTTTCTCTAGCAATGATTATGACTAATTACGAGAGATCAACTAGCTGAAATTAATTCTATCATGTACATTGTTTCCTCTGTAAGGGAGCGTAGTTATTTTACACATCTAACATATTTTGGAAGGTAATGCAACAAAAGCATGAAAATATAGTAGCATATTTATCTAAAATATAAAATATTTGTTATGAAATTAAACATTGATTAATTTGTGCTTTTGAATACGGCTAATTCTTGATAACTTATTGTCATTTTAATTTTATACATAAAATATCTTCATTCTCTAGCAATAATTATGACTAATTCGAGAGACTGAAATTAATTCTAACACGTACATTGTGACCTCCATAAGTGTGGGTAGTTATCTCATTTATCTAATATTTTTGGAAGGTAATTGCAACATAAACAAGAGAATAAAGTAGCATACTTATCTACAACATAAATAAACTATTATGAAATTAAACATTGATTAATTTGTGCTTTTAAAAAAGGCTAATCATTGATAATTTTTTTTATTTTAATTTTAAACACAAAATATAGTTATTCTCTAGCAATATTATAAATTAATTAGGAGAGATCAACTATTTGAGATTAATTCTAAACTGTACATCTTGGTCTCCATAAGTGAGGATAGTTATTTCACTTGTCTAATATTTTTCGAAAGGTAATTACATACATTTTTACGAATATAATATATTATATTTAATAGTATGATACAATTCATGTTTTCGTCCGTACAAAGCCTACAAAAAGACGAGCAAATATTAAGTGTAGAATCTGTACATGCAAATTTTATTATATTTTTTATTGTATTGATTATAATCTATATCAATATAATCAGTACAACTAAAAGTACAATAAATTATGTATATGCGCACCTAATAATTTATCCTCACTCCCACTGATTCTTCCAATTCTATATAAACTCTTAGCAAGATACTGTCCAACTTGCAACAGGATCAGTCATCACCATCTCCGACACATAGGTAGAGAGGAAGAGAGATTTCATGGCCAAGACAGTCCCTCTCTGCTTCGCTTCCATCCTGTTGAGAAAATTAGGGCGAAGAAAAACTAGATACGACACAAATCCAGAAGAACACAGAGATTTAACGAGGTTCGGCAAAGATGCATACGTCCTCGGGAGCAGAGCGGTGACCTCCTTTTCAATATTCAGAAAAGAATACAAAATACAAAATTCAACTCTCTCAAAGACCTAGGATTACAAACAGTTCTATTTATAATCCTAGAGTAAACCATACAGTACAATATGTAATTCCCAAATTACCCCTGTACCGTATAGCGCGGCGTTGACCCAACACCCCCAACCCACATAAAGTAACTTCCCAATTTGGACAGATTCTTCGGCTTCGCTCCGCTCTGCTCTGCTTCGTTCCAGCTTCTGTCCCAATATGTTATATGATTCATTCCATAACAAATCTCCACCTTGGCGAATATCCAGCCCCT